AATTTATTTAAATTCAAAATAGGGAACCCTTCTAGTACAATTCGTTCAAATTGTTCTTTATTTTGAAAATGTTCATATTAATAATTATAATTAGTAATAATAACTAATAGGAGTAACAATTAATTAATTCTTCATTAATAATTCTTATTAAGAAATAATCTACAAAAATATTTACAAAGAACAAGGAAATTTATTTAAATTAAAAATAGGGAACCCTTCTATTACAAAGGCGATGTTCTTGGCTGTATCATTTCGGTGGTCATTTTTTTACCATTTCGGTAGACAATTTTTATTTCAGTGGACTGCCGAAAACTCATCCTTAAATATTTCAGTAAGTGGTGATTGTTGAATTTGACCCGTAGGATCGTTTAAAAATGGAAAAAAAACCATTAACAATATATTTTCTTTTTTATTTTGCACCTTTAATTGCATTTTGTGCAAAAACTATGGGAGATACGCGAAAATATGTTGATACCTTTTTTGTAGAATATGAAATTCTCTACAACTTTGTACTAGGAACTTTTTCTATTTTTCCAGCCAGTCGCGTGATATTGACGAAAAACTCGTTTTTGCACCATTTCGCATTTTTTTTCACCCTTTGCCGTCAATGCAGCACCCTGCAATTTTAGTAATTAATCTACGAACCCTTGCGGAAATTTTCGGAAATTTTTGTGATCAACTCAAAATGGCAAAGTTAAGCCTTCATTGACTGGACTATAAGGCATTTTTGAAGGAAAAAAAAATTATTATCTTTTATTTTAATCTTTGCCTATCTCTCAGTTATGATGGTTTTGTGTAAAACACAGTTGTTAATGACCTAAATTTTACTACTACTTACTTACTTGTGTTTACTTACTCGTCTTGTTCTGCCGTTTTTCTCGACCACTATTTACTCATTCCTGGCCAACGTGGCTGTGTAGGCATTCAGAGGGTTGATTAGGAACGCAGGGAAATCGTACTGGAAGAAGTGCAACGCAATAGTAGTACAAGTACGAGAGCATTAGCTCGTAACCTTAACATACCAAGATCTTCAATACAGGATATTTTGCGTGAGGAATCATTTCACGCCTACCACATACAAAAAGTACAAGCGCCTTCAAATTATCAATTGAGAGTCGAGTTCTGTAGAACTATGTTGCAGAAAGAGGAAGAAGATCCTGGATTCTTTAATAAAATCTTGTGGACCGACGAGTCAAGATTTAAGCGAACTGGGGTTTTCAATATCCACAACTTTCACATTTGGGCCGTTGAAAATCCACATGCCGCCAGACCATTATCATTATAACATCGTTTTAGCGTTGACATGTGGTCTGGTATTTTGAATGGCGAATTAATAGGCGCATTTGAACTGCCATCGAGATTAGACGGCGACACATACAAAAGTTTTCTGGGAGACAATCTACCCATATTACTGGAAGATGTAAATCTTGAATTAAGAAGAACGATGGTGTTCCAAAACGACGGGGCGCCGTGTCATTACGCGACCCAAGTGCGTCGCCATTTAGACCAGACCTACCCCAACAGGTGGATCGGACGACGAGGGATTGCCTGGTTACCACGCTCGCCTGACCTCAACCCTATTGATTTTTTTATCTGGGGCTACTTTAAAGAAATTGCGTACGCCAGAGAAGCTTCGAGTGAAGAAGAACTTAGAGCAAAAATTCGCGAAGCTGAAACCACTGTGAAAAATAACCGTGAAGCTTTTAGGCACCTAAAACATAATTTTTTGCACAGATGTAGATTGTGTATTTCTGTGGGAGGGCAAAATTTTGAAAATTTGCTTTAAATAAATGTATTTTGTTCACAATTAACTACGTTTTACTCAAATCCATCATAACTCATAGAAAGTCAAAGATTTAAATAAAATAAAATAATTATTTTTTTTCCTTTGAAAATGCCTTAATTTACTTTGAAGGTCAGTTACAGAAAATAAACCCCCCTTAACCCTTTCTTTATTTGGCCTTGTTTGAAAGTTTAATGTCTCAGGAAGTTTCTAAAAGCACTTTGAGAACTCCAAATCCCCCCATTTACATTTTTTTTTTGATACTTTGAAAATTTATGTGTACTGAGCTCAAATCGTAATTTTGAACTTTCGAACAAATTCTAAGTGAATTCTGCAATGCCTAGATAAATCATAAGTTTTAGGGTGATAGGTTAGACTATGTTAGTCAGTTATTACAAAAAACTGAAACAGAAACGTCCAACAGAATGAGAAAAAAATCGAAAACGGATGTTAGGTGAAAATTACGAAAAAAATCATTAAAAAAATTATAACTCGAAAACTACGCAAAATCTTAGAACATACATGGGGGTGATTTGGATAATCCTCATCATAAAGTATCAAAATTTTACGCTTGAACGTCAACTCCCCGGCCACCCTGTATATCTGAAAGGATAACAATACTTAACTTAAATTTAACTGGCTACAAAGACAAATGGAGCATTATTCAGGTGTGATGAGGACCTACACAAGCAGCTGATAAATAAATTCTACAATGCCAATCAATGACTTGGCCATCCACAGGCATGCTTATAAGAATCTAGTCATAATGGGGGATTTTAACGCCCAGATAGGAAGCACACAAGAAAGTGAAAACAAGTTTATAGGTCCTTACACCTTAGGCAAGAGGAAATGAAATGGGAACAACCTAGTAAACCTTTGCTTTGAAAATAATCTTACAGTCCTGATCAGTATATACAATAAGAACAAAAGCAGTTTGTGGTCCTGGATATCACCTGATGGTAAATACAAAAACCAAATAGATTATATTTTGTGCAACAACAAAAATGCCTTTGAAGACTGGAGTAATCAGCACACTAAATTTCAACACTAACCATAGGATGGTGAGAGCAATACTAAAACTGTTCCAAACAAAAAAGTCGAGACGTAATATAAATACCACACGCATGTCGTTTGAACGGCATAATCATAAATTTATTCAACAGATATAGAACATAGACTTGTAAAATTCAATATATCAATGAACAATTTCAATGTCCAAACCAAATAAGACCATGATCAAAGCAAAATGATCTTTATACTAGAGGAAACATAAATGAAATATCAGAAGAAACTCTTCAACTATAAAAGGAAAGGGCAAAACTAATCAATATGGATCACAAAACCAATGAAATACGACAGAGCATAACATACATCTCAAAGCAACAAAGAACTAAGCTGAGGAAATATAGACAGGATCATTGAATAGAAAAGTTTTGAGCACAAATCATTGGGTGCGTTAAGCCGACAAAAAGGCTAAGCAGCATTCGAGAATGCTTGACAGTATTAGACTATGCTAACTAGCATTATCGGCGGAAACTATACTTTAGTTGATTCAACTGAAGTTAGTGATGAGTGCTAGAATTTTTATAAGAATAATTAAATTATTATTATTTTGTAATTTTTTTTCCAGTGCTACTTAGCAATCGCCATTTTCTTTTTCTGCTTAGGGGTTTTAATTTATTTATTTTCATTTGGTAAACATAAAGTTTTACACAATTCAATTAAGTAACACTTATTACTTTTTCATAAACCAGTTAAGTTTCCACAGACTGAAACATTCATATACTTACATAATTTACTTAAGATTACGTACAATATTTAGAGTTAAATGTGAATAAAAGAAAATACTAAGTGTTAGGGTAAAACGACCTTATAGTATTCATTTCTAAATTAATTGTAAGAAAGGCAAAATATATCCAATCCCCTGAAGTATTTATTATAGCTGTGACATGCTCTAGAAATTAAACTTTTGCAGCAAACTTGGTCCTGCTGAATTGTATTACAAACATATTGTCAGACCTAGTTCTATTTGGACAACGAAAACCAATCCTCTGCAAAAGGAAGGGCGAACCTACAAGGTCATTAATAAGTTTGTAAAGAAATAATTGATCTCTAACAGTTCTGCGATGTTGCAAGGATGTAATCTGTAACTTTGCTTCACAATCATTAATAATCAAGTTAAGATTAATTCTGTTTTCTAAGTACTTTACAAATTTGTGTTGAATTCTTTCAATAGCATCAATGTATGTATTATACCGTGGATTCCATACACCAGAGGCATATTCAAGGTGTGGTCTCACAAATGCATTATACAGTATTATCAAAGTAGATGCGCAACGGAATTCCTTTCCAATACGTATGATGAAACCTAGTATTCTATACGATTTTGCAACAATAATGCTAATATGGTTACTGAAAAGAAGTTTGTCATCAATGATTACCCCAAGGTCAACCATCTCGGTTTTTTTTGTGAGAATAGAATTAGTTAATTTATAGTTATAATGAATTGGCATTTTCTTCGGGGTAAAAGTAATAACTGCACATTTATCTGTGTTCAATTTAAGTGTGTTATAATTGCAATAGTTTTCCAAGTTGTTCAAATCTTGTTCTAACAATTTACAATCTTCTATGGATTTGATCAACTTTATAATTTTCATATCATCTGCATAGAGCAGATAAGCTTTTTGTAAGCTAAACGCAACCATTATGTCAGAAGGTGTTAAAAAGGCTTTAAAATGTTTGACAGACACAAAGGATTGGATTCCGAATGTCAAAAGCAAAAATGGGCCAGTAAAAACAAAAAGACCAGTTATAATTGCAACATTGACTAACTTTTAAAAAGACCTGTACTCTAAGGCTATACTTAAATAAGAAAATCTATTTACTCAGCTAGACAACTATTCTAACATACCACCCATATTAGAAGAACAGGTTGAAAGTGCTTTAAGGACACAGAAAAGAGATAAGAGATAATTTTCTTAGCCCTGACTTTTATTAAGCTCTATCCTATCATGACCCTGCTGAGAGCAGTGTCCATGAAATCAGAGTCCATGACTCATTATACATTTATATAATTAATTTCTGATTATTTTCATTCTCATATGTATAAAATGTGTAATTAAGTCAAATAAGAAGACACCAAAAAAATTGTAAGAAGTGACCACACTGCAAAGCATATACTTCTTCATCTATAAAACTAAAGTGAGGAATAGTACATTCGATTAAAGTTCCACATTTTATTTATTCAAAGATAAGCACTAATTTGTATGTTTATTCATGGCCTATATTTGTTTAATTATTAGAAATTATGTGTATGTTGAAAATTTACGAGCTGCTCTATTTTTCGAGCCACATTAAGTAACAAATCTTCCGACAAGCAAGGTCCCATAAGCTGCAGTGATACAGGTAAATTATCATTTGACAGCCTAACTGGTATAGAGACTGCTGGAATACCAGCCATGTTTGCAGGTTGTGTGCAATAGTCTTGAAATGCGCACTGATCTCTGTTATGTTTAGATACAAAATCTTCATATCTAGGTGCGTCTGTTAATGTAGTCGGAGTCAGAAGCAAATCTACACTGTCCTCTCCATTGAAGACATTCTTAAAGTCATTAGAAATTAGTCTTCTCAGCTTCAGAGCCTTTATGAAGTACTTATCATAGTTTCTTGCCAACAAGAAGTAGTTTCCAGCAAAAATTCTCCATCTCACAACATTGTTGAAACCTTGTGATCTGGAAGATGCATACAATTCTTCTGTAGAATAGTCCTCATTTGCCCGCAGTCCATATTCCAAGCCATCATACCTAGCCATGTTGCTGGCTACTTCGCATTGGTTCAGAATTGAATAAACAGCAATAGACACTGAAGTATTTGGTAAAGACACAGATCTTATCATGGTTTTTTCATTTTTTAATAATTTTGTTACATATTGCCATGTTTCTAGTACATCTTTACTCATTCCTACACAATTATATTCTTTTGGTATTCCAATTTTAATTTTTGACATATCCAACTCTTTCATAACGATTGGGTTAAAGTCTCTTTTTAGAGTTGTTGAATCTAGTTCATCGGGACCAGCAATACAATTGAGAACAGCTGTCACATCCTCAACGGTTCTGGCTATAATGCCAGGAACATCCATAGAATTCACTAACGGTATGAGACCATACCTAGATACAAGTCCATATGTTGGTTTAAGACCTACTACTCCGCACAGTGCAGCCGGGTTCCTTGTTGAACCACCAGTATCTGATCCCAGTGCAGCCACGCATGCTCCCGAGCTAACTGCGACGGCACTACCACCTGAACTACCGCCGGCAATCCTCCATTTGTCATCATTCTTCCTATAGCCCCAAGGATTTCTTGTTGGGCCAAATATGGAGTCAATTGTTCCTGAACCCATAGCAAACTCGTCCAAATTACATTTGCCAATGAGACAGGCTCCAGCCTGCCTTAGTCTCGAGTAAACAGTAGCATCATAAGTTGGTACAAAGTTTCTCAACATATTTGAAGCGCATGTAGTGCTAATATTCTTTGTACAAAAGTTGTCTTTGATACCGATAGAAATACCTTCGAGGGGTTTCACATTCTTGTCGATATAAAGCCTTTTTTCACTTTCGATTCCGTGATTTTCCGCCTCTTCGACAGTGAGAGTCACGAAAGCATTCAATTCACTAGCTTGCTTTGCTTTTTGTAAACATAAATCAATGAAACTGGTGGGAGTCAATATCTTTTCTATGTATGATTTGTGGATTTTCTTTATCGTATAAGATGTTAGTTTATTCATTTTATGCGAGTTTTACACAATAAATCTTATTAATTTTAACATTTGTAGGTTAAAAACAAACTCGATATAGCTGATACAACCTGAATAAATCTAAGATTTACATGTCTATACAAAGGAAAGTGAACGTTATGACATTCTTATTTTATAAGGTTATACTTAACGACAGAAATTTCAAAAATTGACTTACCTTCGTTAGATTTCTCTTGATCGTCCTTGTGCGTTAATTTTAACAACAAATTCAGATACTGTTGACAATCAACAAAATCCATTTTCACATCCTTATTAGTTCTTGGAGGTTTTTAGCTATCTTGGTAAAATATTTGAAAACTCGAACAGACTGTCGCCATGGACATGCAAAGGTCCGCCCGGTCTGCCCACAGACTAGTTAGAGATATGGGTCTGCCAAAACGTAGTTCCAGGAACTATGGGAACTATGTCCGTTAATAGATTACTTGCTCAGTGGTCCGATCCGATACTGGATGGATATCGTTTAACCGAGAGGTTTATGTTTATCTTAGGCCGGCCTTACACAGCAGGAATGTCTCTGTGAATTCAGAGACGGAATTCATAATATTAATCTAGAAAGCTGTAATGGAATTATATGTATAATTTAATCATGTTTTGAAAATTAGAATGTTACACATATTCTAATTTTCTCAGATTATGATTTTTTCAGATTTATCTGTCAGAATGACTTGAATGGCATGCGTAATTAATTACGGAACGGAATATTGAAGATTATGTATGCTTTCCAATTACAGAGCATAATGCGACTCAGTGCCGCACAATGCCCAATTATGCTGATGCTTAATTGGAACGTGAATTAGTTTTCAAATGCACCAGCAGAGTGCGCTAAGTTCAGTGTTGAAAAAAAAAGTCAATGTTTGTACCTTCATCCATACTTATATTTATTTTTTAACAGTTTGAATGAACTTTGATTATTTAAAAAAAACTATTTATTGAAACGAAAGCTTTAATAATTTTTCAATAATAAATAATATTACTAACGATAACATATAAATAAAACATTTCGATCAATGCCAACTTAAAGAAAAAACACTTGTTAATTTTCTGTCTCTAAGTTGGTACCATTGCACGCATCACATAAAAGCATCACTTTTGAGAGTGCTCAATTGTGCGAAGCGTTGCTGTAGTTGGAACACTCAACGTTAAGCATTATGCCGCATAATGCGCAATAATACTGTAATTGGAAAGCAACCTATGATTTCATAGCGCGCGTTTATCTATAGTTTTGATTAGATAAGCACCACTGAGGTTAAAGAGAAGGAGAATGATCTCTACGTGCTATCCCTGAAAATTTTTAGAATTTATAGTTAATTTTTCAGCCACCAGCCTCTTTGCCGTCGGTAAGTAGTATCTGTGAAGTTAGCTGTTTACGAGTAGTAGTACTAAGTAGATGAAGTTAGTTGAATAATGTACAAATTTTCAATTAGCGCACAACAGCCCGCTTTTATTGAGACAACTTAGCGATCGCAGCACTCAGCCTCACTTCTTCTTAGCCTCACTTATTTTGTCCATATTTCTGGGATACTATTTTCTACAGCGATCATTCTTCTTCTCTCTAACCTCCATTCTTTAGATTTATCACCATTATTTAATAAATAAATAATAATAAACCCAGATCACTATACTACAGCGTGAATATAAGTGTCGATTCTGGCAGGATTCCCTAAGCTTAAAACTAAATTTAATATCTGTCCGTCCTTTTCATTCTGTATAGAAGTTGATATATCAGATTGTTGTGGTCCAAATTTTAATGAAGCGCAGCTGCTATTATCTCTTCAAAAGAAAATACCAGAACAAGTATAATACAAAATATTAGTCTAAATATTTACAAACATATGAAAGAAACTTGGCTAAAGTGAAATTGCAAAAAAACTACAGAAGCCACAAGGTACATTTTACCAAATAATTAATTTATCTCAATATATATTACGTCTGTGTTGTATTTCTGTCTATACCAAGAAAAAGAAGAAGATTTTTGCTTGTACTTTTACTAGTTTATGTTGGAAATAAAAAAAAAAAATGTTATGTTGTGTAATTTGACCCAGTTCTAATGTTTGTTAAAAACCACACAAATAATAATAAATAGGTAGTTAACGATAGTTTTCCTATTACAGAGCATAATGCGACTCAGTGGCGCACAATGCCGAATTATGCTGATGCTTAATTGGAACGTGAATTAGATTTGAAATGCGCCAGCAGAAGGCGCTAAGTTCAGTGTTGAAAAAAAAGCAATGTTTGCACCTTCATCCATACTTCTTTATATATATATAATTCTTCTGTGAGTGTGTATGTCACTGAACTTCTCTTAAACGACTGGACCGATTTTGATGAAATTTTTTGTGTGTGTTCAAGGGGATCTGAGAATGGTTTAGATTCACAATTTTGTCCGCTGGACAATGTTTTTTTAATTAATTTTTTTTATGGCGGTACGAAGTTCGCTGGGTCAGCTAGTATATATATATATATTTTTAACACAGTTTGAATTAACTTTGATTATTCAAAAAAAACTACATTATAACGATAGCTTTAAAAAATATCAACAATAAATAATGGTTGCTTTCCAATTACAGCATTATAGCGCATTATGCGACGTAATGCTTAACGTTGAGTGTTCCAACTACAGTAACGCTTCTCACAATTGAGCACTCTCAAAATTGATGCTTTCGTGTGATGCGTGCAATCGTACCAACTTAGAGACAGAAAATTAACAAGTGTTTTTTCCTTAAGTTGGCATTGATCGAAATGTTTTATTTATATGTTATCGTTAGTAATATTATTGTTGAAAAATTATTAAAGCTTTCGTTTCATTAAATAGTTTTTTTTAAATAATCAAAGTTCATTCAAACTGTTAAAAAATAAATATAAGTATGCATGAAGGTCCAAACATTGACTTTTTTTTCAACAATGAACTTAGCGCACTCTGCTGGTGCATTTGAAAACTAATTCACTGCATTGCATTGTGCGGCACTGAGTCGCATTATGCTCTGTAATTGGAAAGCAACCAATATTACTAACGATATATATATAAAACATTTCGATCAATGCTAACTTAAAGAAAAAAACACTTGTTAATTTTCTGTTACTGAGTTGGTACGATTGCACGCATCACACGAAAACATTACTTTTGAGTGTGCTCGATTGTGCGAAGCGTTCCTGTAGTTGAAACATTCAAGTTAAGCATTATGCCGCATAATGCGTTCTAGTGCTGTAGTGCTGGAAAACTACCATATGCAGCTTTCCAATAACAGAGCATAATGTGACTCAGTGGCGCACAATGCCGAATTATGCTGATGCTTAATTGGAACGTGAATTAGTTTTCAAATGCACCAGCAGAGTGCGCTAAGTTCAGTGTCGAAAAAGAAAATATTCATAGAGTTAGCAATAACCTCATGTGTGTCAATGTATATATATATATAAAACATTTCGATCAATGCCAACTTAAATAAAAAACACTTGTTAATTTTCTGTCACTGAGTTGGTACGATTGCACACTTCACACGAAAGCATTACTTTTGAGAGTGCTCGATTGTGCGAAGCGTTGCTGCAGTTGAAACATTCAACGTTAAGCTTCAACCGCATAATGCGCTATAATGCTGTAATCGGAAAACTACCAACAATATCAAATATTATGTTTATCATATTTCATCATTATACCTGACATGAAAAGGATTGAAAACCTAGCTTCTTTCAGTTTTTTTTCAATGTTATCTGAAATAAAGTATAAATTTATGTAACCGATAGCTCGACAACATAACACGTCACAAATACGCAAACACGAATAGCAATGTGAAGTGCCAGTAAATTCCGAAATCCTTCGTCCATATTAGAGGCACGCCAAACAGTGACAAAAAACTTGGCTCACTTGGCTGTGTGAACATAATCCTTTTTCTAATCAATTCAGTCAGAGAGAATAATAAAAAAACACTGGAAATTCTGAAAATTTCGTTCGACGTCGAGTTTTATGTGAAATTTAGAAAAATATAAATTTAATTACCTACTCTCTGAATTATTCGCTTGTTAAAGTTAAAATTTAGAAAAAAACAAATACGGTTTAACTATTGTATTTTAAATTTTTCCATGAAATATTGTGAAAATGGCCCATCTCCAATACATTCCGGGTGATCCTCGGTTGGTCGATCAATTAGTATACGAACTAAAATCGAAAGGAATATTTGATCAAGTAAGTGGTTTCCATAAAATATTATGATGTCCAGTGTCGATACAATGTTCAATATCTCCAATATGCCAAGGCGTAATGGAGGTCTTGTCATGAGCAATTTTATAAAATTTTTATTCATTATTTTTTCGACTTGGATTTTAGTGCTGTGAAAACTTTGAGCCAAACACACCATCGCAATTATTTAATTTGTCTTATCAAGACGAAATCTTAGCAAATATATATTGACTTGTTGAAAAAATCTAATATAAACCTTTAAAATTCTGATCTAATCTTTAGTGCTTTTGTTTATTCTCGAATGTCAGATAATGATACCAGAGCCCTGCTTCTGCCCCAATGGTCCTGGGTTTAAATCTCTGTAGGTGCATTTTATTGACTAAGTTCAAAAACTCATTTAGTGCCCAAAATCAAATGATTTAATGAATTGATTTCTCATCATTTGATTTTGGTGACTTTCAAATGAGATCTTGTCTTAGATTAAATCAAAAGGGAATTATTGGTATGCTCTTACTAGTGTCAAATAATAAATGCTCTGATTCAACTAAATAAGTAACACATCGACACACACTTATGAAAAAAAATGTGCTAGCGATACAGAACTGTACTTTCCAACATCAGTGCGAGTAAATCACAGGTTCCACATTGCGATGCAACTGATGCCAGATGCTTTATTTTCCTCTACAATTGGCTGAGTTATACTGCTGTCCTTTACTTTTCTAGTATAAAAAAAATATTTCTAGTATAAGGACTGAAAAGAAATATTTGTGCACTTTTAAAAACATGGAAAGCATTGTATTATCTTTTTTGAACAGTATATTTGCAATATTGTTTTTTTAAGTGCAGATGCAGGTTGCTTGCGATTGTGACTGAAGTGTGCTAAAGCGAAATTGTGTGCATGAACCTAATTTTAGCTTTTCCTTTTTGATTTAATTTAAGGTTCTTACACTAAACAGACAGTTTATTTGTGTGAAAATTTGTTTCTATGCTTTAATCATGTTTTCTTAGATTGCACACATTACTTATGGAAAGAAAATTATAAAAAAATAATTATTGATTGAAACTTATTGTTTCATAATTATTAGGTTAAAAAAATCATACTTTGGCTAAGACAAACATGGCTCAAATGGTTCTAAATGGTCTATACAAGCTTCCCTTTGAAGATTTGCACCCATGTTCCAATCACCCCATTTATCATTGATTATCCTTGAATTGATCATTAATATAGTCTCCATTACTAAATAAGTAAGCAATATCCTTCAAATTTAATAGATTCACAAAGTAGGTTGCCACTTTCTAAATCCCATTATCAGTCACAAGTAAAAGGGAAATGTCAAATGACTATATTATTATGTTACCACAATTTTCTTCATATAGTACAGATGTTTAACTTAAATAAGAAATGTTTAACTTCTTCTTTGAAACATGTTACCTGTTTAGTCTATAATGTATAAATACTTATTAAGAATATATTTTTATTTATTTGTATGTACATAGTTTTAATTTTATTATTATATTTTATAATATTAATTCATATTTATTATGGGCTAATTGATGACATAAAATGAAAATTTTGAGAGTAGATATTTATATAACTTAACTTCAAGAAATTTTTATCTAAATTGTGTGTTAGATTATTGTATTTTTTTTTTGCAATACCCTGACAGGGTTCATGTAACATACTTTTTAACATGTATTTAACAATCTCTGTAACTACATGAATGCAATAAATTTTTGGTATTGGTATGATTATTTAATGTAATCATGATTAATGAATAACTATGAAATAAAATCAGGCTTAGCGTGCATTGCGGATTTTGGACTTCGTAGCGAAACACCCTCATTTTATGTTATGTTTCATATATTAGCAAATAGGTATGTGCACAAGCTGTGGCTTCGCTGCTACCGCCAAAATTCTGCATAAATGATTAAAGTTACATAAAAATCGTATGGCGACATTGTTCACCCTTAAAAGTTCTATAAAAAGTCTGTGATAGCATATGCCCATCTTTTAAGTTTGTCTCAATATAACCTTTTTCCTCAAATTAACACGGGTGAAACCGCAGGGGACCTTTACTTGTGACAACTGAAATTGTTAGACATAATATGGTATCGCAGACTTTTTGTAGATATTGATGTAATCTATAAAACTTTAGTAGATCACTTTGCTCTACTGTCAATGACTTCCGCAGCGTTAGCGATATAAGGTTATTTTTTGGTATACGCTACCTTCAAAATTTTGCATCAGATCATAGCATATCGGCGGCGCCGCGCCCGCATTTTTGTTAGCCAATTAGTACTATTTGCACTTCAGCTTGCTTATTGCTCCAAACCAACGCTATTTATTTTATGTCGATGTTGGTCTGCTTAGAGCGTTTGATCAAAGATTACCAATTCTCTGTTTCTTGTCTTGGTAAACAAACAGGTCCTGATGAATTTTAATTGATAAAATTATTAACTCAGTGGAGAATTGACCTGCTCTTAATAATAAAGTTTGTAAGAATATAGCAAAAGAGAAATAACCCTATAACGCACCCAATATAACATTAATTCGTAAACACAGGCTACTTCTCCATTTTGCTTTTGCTACTCACAGCTAAAAAACGCGCATTGCACAGTAGATGCCGAATGTCGCTGCGGTTTTTACTAACTTCAGTACGAAATCATCTCTGCTCGGCGACTGTTTTAAATTTGATGGTTTTCATATCAGTATTATGGAGTAAAAAAAAAGGGAATTGAGTTCTTTAGTTTACGAAGGTGCTATTGAATTATAATTTGTATTTAAATTGTTATTTGATCTATAATGAAAGTATCCAAGTACCAGCAAATATAGAGTTGAAACTGTTATTATATTTTATTTTTTAAATATTTAGCTAGAAAATAATGCTATTATGCCCAGGTGCAAAATAGGCTGTTATTTTTACTATTATTATAAAATATTCTTTCTAATGATTTATTGTGTTATGAATTATTGTTACTCAGCCAGTTGGAACAACAGATAAATGCCTTCATCCTGATGTCTAATACTTTGTTCTTTTTTCTGTTCTTATTATTTGCATAATTTGTTTCACTCTTTAAGAACCAATTTTCTTAAGAAGTAATTTTTACACAGTATAATGCGATTCAAATAAGAATAGGAAAGCCAATGACCTCTATCTGTCAAATGCCGCTTGAAAAGTTCGGTTTGCAAAAAAAAATTGGAACCCTTTTTTAGCACTCCGCTAATTCAAGAATAAAAACGAAACATTTGTAAGCAAACAATAACAAATATTGATAATTAATATCGGTTGTTTTTTATTTCACTTATTGAGCTTTGGCCATGAATGGTTGATAACCTAAATCGTCAACCAAATGTCACTTTAAGTTGCATTCAGAAACTCGATTTCAAACTTTCGTTTACTTAAAGGATGCATATTTGTATGTGACCTAGTAATAGTGCATGATTATTATTCATAACTAATCCGGCGGTAATGCAGAGATGAGCGGAAAACAATAGTTAGATTCTGATTAATGTTTTTTCTCACAGTCTTAATAAATAAATATTATTAAAAATCGGTGGTTTTTTTTCTCAATCTTAGTAAATAAATGTTATTAAAAAATGTGATGCTTTTTCTCACTTAATATTAGTAAATAAGTTGTATTAAATAAAAACTTTTTTTTGCTCACTCTACCTATTTAGTTTGAATTGACAGCTATGACATCACAATATGGCGCCCAGTCGGTCCTATTCTTAGTTGAATCGCATTATCCCTATTTTAATATTGACAAATGTAGGTTGGAGTGTCATTTATATTAAAAATGAAAATAAGGACGTACGTAGGAGCAAGACGAAGGTTCCAAATGTAACGTGTATGCAATTTCTAGCTAGGTATATTTAAGAAGGATCTTACTTCCACATAACAAAATAAATATACTAAGACTTTTTATTAAAAAACTAATGGCCCGCCCTCGCTTCGCTTCGGTGTAGAGCTGTAGTGTAGGAAGACTAAAGTTTTTGTTCTTTGGCTTGTATTACACACAGTGAATTTATTTATATAACCTAAAAAACTTCCATGAAAATATATTTAACTGATAGTGAAAATTTTGTTGCTTACTTTAAGACCCGTTGTACAAAATGCACCATTATTTTGATTGAATGCGCAAAGCTCAGGAACATATGGTCCGATTTGAAAAAATATATTTGTGTAAGATAGTGAATTTATTGAGGAAGGCTTACGACTATATGACATCACATTGCGACCAGTAGGAGCGGAACATCGATGTAAAATGTTGCAAAAACGGGTAAAATTCCATTTGTGAGCTTCCGTTGCGTGCGCTGCGTTAATTAAATGATTAAAGTTACACAAACATCACGTATGTTAACTGTCAAGTCTATAATGTTTAAATACTTATTGTGATTATTAAATGTAATCATGATTAATGAAAAACTATGAAATAAAATCATACTTACTAAACAGTAGTTAGTATATTGCATAATAGATGTAAGGCTTAGCGCGCATTGATTTTTTATTAATTAATTTAAGTTATAATTTTATATTTTAAGGGATAAGCTTTTTAGCGATTTTGGACGTCGTAGCGAGACACCTCCATTTTATGTTATGTTTCTTATATTAGCAAATAGGTATGTTACGTGAAACTGCGGCTTCGTAAATGATTAAAGTTACACAAAAATCACATATGGCGAAATTGTTCCCCCCCTTAAAAGTTCTATAAAAAACGTCCGCAATAGCATCCCATCTTTTAACTTTTGGCTCACTATAACCTTTTTCCTCAAATTAACGCGGGTGAAACCGCATTTGAAAGGGACCTTTAGTTGTGCCATATCTGTAATAGACATATGGTATCGCGGACTTTTTTGTAGATATTGATGTAATCTATAAAACTTTTGTACATCACTTTGCTCTACTGTCAATGATTTCCGCAGTGTAAGCGAATAAGGTTATTTTTCACACCCTGGGTTACGTTATTGAAGTTTTCATACGGAACCCTAAATTTTTGAAAATACTCTATAGCTTATGTTCATCAAGGATAATATAGGGTTCTAAATGTAAAATATTTTTTCAAATCGGACTTGAATTTCAGAACCTGTTCAATACAATCAAATAGTTTATCTTTATAATATTAGTATAGAAAAAAATAATGGTGTCAATTGGGGCATGATCCTCTAAACATAAACTTTAATTTGACAACAGTGTATGTTGTCATTCCTATACAGAATGCAAAGGAGAGACTGATGTTAAATTTAGTTTTAAGTTTAGGGAACTATGCCAGATTCTACACCAGTGCTTGTTATTATATGAGATAATCTTGGTGTTAAAAATATTTATTTTTCCTTATTCTCAGTTTCGGAAAGATTGTATCGCTGATGTGGACACTCGGCCAGCTTATCAAAATCTAAGACAAAGAGTCGAGAACTCTGTTTCCACATTCTTGGCAAGACAGTGCTGGCAACCAGACTTGAACAAGAATCAACTGAGGGAGAAACTTAGGAAACACATTTTGGAGTAAGTTACATTGTTATGGCAATCAATAACATAGTACGTTTTTAAATACTGTTTTTTGCCTACTGTGCTTAAAATACTCCTAGCTTATAAAAATAAAGAAATTTTTGTGCCCAATATGACTTATTGTTACAGTGGAAATTACTTGGAGCAGGGAGTTGAAAGAATAGTGGACCAAGTTGTAAATCCTAAAGTAGCGTCTGTATTTATTCCCCAAGTTGAAGACTTGGTTTACAATTACCTCGGAATCACAAGAAAGAAAACTGTACCAGTACCAGAAACTTCAAACGGAAAAGTTTGTGAGAATGACCTACTCCCTACAGACCTTGAAGCAGTCAGCCCTGGCTCAGTTAATGATGACAGAAATGATGAAATGGAAGATCTTGAACCACCAGGAGTTGATTCGAAAATGGAAGTTGATCAGGAAGATACGTATAAACTGGAAATTAAAGATGGCAGCACAAATGATGCAACCAATAAAGTTAAAAATGATGCACAAGAATCTCAAATGTCTGTTGTTAGTGAACCTATTTCTATTGATTCTAATAGCAGTATAGACAAGAGTTGCATCCCTTTACCTGATGAAGAAATAAAACTTGAAAACATACCTGCTCCAGAGAACAGTCCTCCAAAATCAACTAAAATCAAAGTTGAGCTTGAGAAAATACAATTACCAGAGGAACCGAATGTTTCCACAGACATACCATTACCAGAGGAAACTTTTAAATCTGATAAAGATCATTATTTCAAACCTGTTAATAGTGATGATGATGACTCCAGTTCCGATTCATCACTAAGAAGAAACATGTCACCTCTAACACCAATAAGAAACTTTAACAACGAGAATTCTTGTGACGCACAACAAGCATTCGAAAATGACTCGATAGACAATAAAATTGAGAAAACTGAACCTTTGGAACCAAATTCATTTAGATTTACCATTGAATCTAAGGAAGAGAATAGTTCTGAAGTTACGAAGGCAGAGAAGAAAGATACGGATCAAGCTAATTTGTCATACCAGTTCAAAAACCAAGTAAACATTAATGCATTTAACACCCCAATGTATGATGATAGCTCGAACAGTAATTTGCTGCATATAGATTATGAGAGTGACGCAAACAGCAAATTGAATATCGATAATAAGACATCCGAAGCTGACCAAAACTCGAATGAGACTAAAAAAGGTAGGAGGCAGGAGGATAAGAAAAGTAGTCATCGAAGTTCTCATCATAAGGATTCACATAGGCATTCTAGCAGTAAAGATAAAAAATCAGACTCTAAACAAACGAGTTCCAGAGACAGTAAATCTGATAAAAAGTCTTCTAAAGATGACCACAAAGGAAGCAATAAATCCAGCCACAAAGAAAGATCCAGTGACAGAAGTGACAAAAAAGATAGCAGAGAATCGTCGAAGCACAGGAGTTCTCATAAAAGTTCAAGCAGCCACAAAGATTCAAAGTCACATAGGAGCTCTAGTTCCAGTCAAAGACATTCAAGCTCTAAACATTCTGATGAGAAGAAGTCTTCTTCGTCGAGTCATCGAGATAAAGAAAAGAGCTCTAAAGATGATAAGCACTCAAAGGAAAAATCATCGAAAGATCCAAAATCTAGTTCTAGTTCTCACAAATCAGAAAAGGATAGAAAAAGTACTAGTAGCAGCAAAAGTAAGCATGACGATAAAGAAAAGAAAAAAGATAAGAAAGAGACAGACGATCATTATAGTGCTTCAGGTAGAGGAAGTCATAGCCGTCGATCAACTGATAGAGACTCTAATGATGGTAGTTCTTCGTCTAAAGGTTCTCATAATCCATCAAGTAGGAAGTCATGTGACAGCAAAAAAGAAAGCAAAAGTTCTACTTCGAAATCTGACACAACATCTACCAGTGGCGATTCTACAAGTCCTAGTGACAAGGATCATTTGAATAATGAAACGAAACAATCGAAGTCTGGAAATATACCTCTAAACAAACCTATTATAAGAGTTGATAATCACTTAGAAGTACCTATACATTCTCCACCGAGACTTGCTTTCGTGCCAGATGTGACATTAAAAAAACCCAAAATTGCGGCAAATTTAGAAGAAGCTAGGAAATTGATGAAAATGAGGAAGTTCTTAGATGAGGAACAAAAGAGAATGAACCAAGAGGCTGCACTGCTTTTAGAATTCCAAGCGAACGTCAGACCAAGTATGAGTCAAGTATACTCGAGTATTTCGGGTCCTGAACTTGAGTTTGCATGCGTTGCTACCACTTCTTCCAAAATGGTAATAGGTGAACCTCAAACGTTCTCCGAAAATAAAATTATAAAATCAGACAATATTGAAACAAGGAACGAGTCCATTAGTGATATACTAAATGCGGCAGAACAAGTAGAAAATATAGATGAAATTAAAGATATAGAAAGTCAAGAAGAAAAAGTAATTGTAGTAGTTGAACAAATAGAACCAGCTATTATTGAGAGAGAAACAGATGAGGAGAACAGTGAAACAGATAAAGCTACTGTTCGGGTTGAAAAATCAATGGATACTGACGAAAAAGTAGTTCACCATATTCCAGTTAATAATAAAAATGACAAAATACTGTATATTTTAACTGAAGCTAATGAAGAGGAAAATGAAAGTAAAATTTTAGATAAAGAAACTTTGGAATCTGAGAAACTAACCAATATAGTAGACACTGATGCAATTGTGGAAATGCAAACTAGAAATGACGAATCAGCCACAGAAAACATAAATATGATTGAAACTGATGAAATTGAAATGAAACTTAGCTTGTTACATGAAAAGAAATATCCTGATTATGCTGTTCAAGTTATTGTTATAGCGGAAGAGGTCTCCGATACTGAAGATATAGTACTGGAAACTGCTAATAAAGTGGAAGATATCGCAGAAACATGTACAGAAGAGATTCCTTTACAATATTTTGGAGAACACGAAAAGTACAAAGCTGAGTTAGAAAGGGATACATTTAGTAAATTTCTCAAGACATTCACTGAGAAGTGCACAGAGAAAATCTATTTGATAAATTGCAATACTTATGAAGAGAAAATATTGAAAGAAGTTTTACAGAACTTGGGCATATACGAAGTAGTGAACTATCACAAGAATGGACATTTGAACCAAAATAAAACTGGCAAAAACATTGTGAGAAATGTGAATGTCTCTTCTGAAATATCTTTGCCTGTTGATAGCGTTTCTAAGGCGTCGCCTTCGCGCCTAGTTTTCAGTCCTGTAAAATCTGAATGTTCCTTTGAACTCTCCAGCGATTACGATGCCAAGTTAGAAGAAATGGTTAGTAAAACATCACGAAGAGAAATAATGGAGATTATACTTGGCAATGCTGCAGAAGAATCGGCGGATGATACTGAAATGCCAACGATTGATTATTGCTCCGAATTCAATATAGTAAGTGACACAGAGAACACAGTGAAAAGAAAATATTGCGAAGTGGAAAGCAGCGAAAATAACAATAGACAAGTTTTGACTCCCAACAAGATTAGGAAGCTCAGCGATTCAGATCAGATAACTTCTACTACAGGGGGTAAGTTGGAATAGCAATAGCTTCAATAGGAAAGGTTGACAGAGCATCAAGGTTACTGCAGCAATTTTTTTAAATTCTTCCCCTTTATTTTTTGAAGGCAGGATACTAAATTCTTACAACTGACAGCTTTGTCTAAAGGTTTTTTTTTATATAGATGTTATAAGGAAATAAAATTTGTTATAAGCTCTGTGTTTTTTCTAACCATAACTAATTCAATTGTCATGGAACTAGTGAAATTTTACTTACTTTTAAGATCAGCATAACCGGGCTAACGTTGGGCCATATTTGTTTATTTTACCATTTGTTATTTTGAATTGCAGAATCTGTAGAGGCGAGTAATAACAATGTATCGATGAACAACACTAGTGTAAGATCCAAATACTTGGGTAGAGCCCGAAGAGTGGGGCTTCCTAGGCCCCGGAGATCTAGTGAGTATTAATTATTTCATAAAATTACACAATACAATGCTTATCGTAAATTAAGTGCCTAACGCGCATGGAGAAGTCAATTAACGTGTTTTAATTGAGTTCTCTGTGCTTGGTAGGTACTTAATCATTACTGCCCAAAGCATCTTAATTTAGAAACAGAAAGTTATTTTATAAAGGTGCCTACATAATCAATGAATCAATAATAGTTTAATTGTAAGTATTGCATCAAACTTCAAACTTTTTATCTAAAAAAACGACTTCATTAAAACCATAACCAAAAAAAACTACCACAATATACTTATGTTTTACTTCAATCTAAAGTATGTGTACCGAATAGAAATTAAATTCAGGTTCAGTGATGTACTCTATAATAATATTTTTTCAATAAAATGTCATAGAAAAACAATATAATTTAAAAGTAAAACAAAATGTAAAAAAGAGTATATAAAAAAGTTTAAGAGCCCTTTTACAAAATTGCTGATTTGAACTGCTGATCTGAACAAAATTGATTTCCACTAGTATATATTGCATTTTATGGGTGATGTTTCGAGTTTTATAAAATAATAATTAATGAAATTATTATAAAAATATATACATATTTCAGTAGTTTTTGATAGTAATTCTATTTAATTCAATATCAAAATACGAGGTAAACCTGCATTATTTTTTGGGAAAACTAACGGAGGTTATAATAATTAATAAGATGGAAAATCAAGATTCTAATACATTATGTTACAACAAAAACATATTTCTGACGTCGTAGTAATTAATTTGATCTAATTTATTGAACATTATTGAGAGATTGAGGCCTTTAGAACGATCGATCGAACGATTTAGGCGGTAGAACGATCAATACAAAAAAAAAATTAGTATTTGTCAATATTAATTCTACATTATCTTACTATAGGAAGAATAAATCTACTGTTTACTTCTCTTGGAAATAGTCAAAATATTTTCTGAGGGTGTGAACGACGCGCTCAAAAATTACGATTTTTTGCAAAAAATATGAAAGGGCTCTTAAATAAGAAGCGTCGGCAACATGGCTGACCCCGTGCAACGCACTACCGAGTTAAGGTGTCGACGAGTCCACCAGACTACCCTTAAAGGGCGTCCTAGAGTCCCGGATGTTGTAGTCACGTCGACTATTCGAACAATCCCATCTTTACCCGGGTACAATTTCAAGCCACGACCTCGAGACCACGAACCATGCGGCAAATTGCCTTCAGCCACAAAAACCATATCTCCGACCTTCAGCGTCGTCGTAGGCGTGACGTGAGCACGAGGTGTCAAAATCGGAAGATACTCCTTAACCCACCTAGACCAAAAATGATCCCCCAAACGGAGGTCCTTGCGCCAGTGCGCTCTTCTGATGAGGTCTGTCATGTACCCTGGTGATAGGCCAGTACGGTGACGACGACCCTAAAAGAAAATAGTTCAGAGTGATGGACTCCTCTGCATCTGGTACGGACTAGACACATAAGACACACAGAGCCACATAACGCTTTTCTCTACGGCGGCTGACACTTACGTTGATTGGACCGAAATAGTCCGGGAGGTCTACTCTCTTTCTCCGAAATGAACTTTCGATAACAAAGTTCAAACGAAATTTAATTTCGTCAATTTAAGGTTATATGTACTTAATTTGAACGATAAATTATCAAAATGAAAGCTTTCTTTGAGCAGGCTTAGAAAATTTATACCTAAATCTATATTCCGACGACAAATATTATTATAATTAAAAACGAACCAGAATCAAAATAAGAAAAGTGGTGAAGTTGCGATCGAAATTCCGTTTTTCGTTGAATTAGAGTAGGTCTCCAGGCCTGTAAATGTAAAAGGCCTATTCCCAAATGCAAGACGATCCGCTGGCAAGTCATATGTCGGCAGAGTAGACTGTACACCTTTGTGGCATCAACACCAATTGCACGACTTTGCTAAACGCTTCACAGCTGGACGCAGGCCAAAGATGCAGGACCACCTAAAACTTATATATATAAATCTCTTTTCAAACGGGTTTCCACGTCCTTCTATTTCCTTTACCTAAAGGCTCCAAGCACACTAGTAAGAAAAACTTGCTTGTGAGCACACGGAACCTGTAAAGGAGCCTGCACAGTTGAAACCCGTTTAAAAAGTGTGTCGTGAAAACATGAGGAAATAAATGCTTAATTAGTTCAACTGGGCGGTTGCTGCAAAAATCTCTAAATACGGCAACGGGTGGAATACCTTCCTCTAACGATATACTCCTCCATGGCTCACCTTTGATACGTACTAATATTTTCCATTTTTTTTACAGATGTCGCCAACAGCCCGTCCAGCGACAAGTCCATAGAAAACTACGAACAGAACACGCCCGTGACACAAACACCCAATGGCAAAATAAAAACACCTCGAAACAAGATCCAGCGCTATGACACATCGGAATTGTACAAGCCCAAACTGCACTATTTGTCAAGAAGGAATAATGTCAGTTAATTTAATTACATATAAGATTCTGTGAGTGATTGATTACATAATAATATTAACCACCAATCCATCAGTTGATAAATGAGGAATAATCTATCCAATATTTTCATTTGGACAAAATTTCATCACGATGGTTCATTCATTTTCTTTTCGAAGTTGATCTAGGGCAAACATCGTGACCACGTGATTTTTTATATGTATTTATAAGATTCTAAGTCTATATATACTATATAGCTACTTCGCGGGATTAGCAAATAATTTGAGATGGAATATCGTGGGTCAGATATAATTAGGCTTGATGATGAAAGTTAAATAACTTTCACAATGGGATGGGTGACTAGAATTTATTATCTCGGGGTCGTTAAAGTCAGTTTTTTAGATAAAGAAACTCCGGGCTTCGGAAAGCACATTAGTTCCGTCTACTTCTGCTTTTCTTAGCACCCACTAATCCTAGTTGGGCTCGCGCGGTGAGCCATGACCTATATTTTCTATGCTGTTTCTGTCATAGGGAAACATCCTGTGCCCCAGTAGTGGGAACATTAACAGGAATCATCCTGTCATCAGACATAATAAGGTGACATTAAACAATATGGTGTTATGAAGTTACGTGCATACAGTATGCTCTCAAACATATTGTTATTTTTCAAGATCCAGTAAATGTAGTATCCATAATATTAACGTAAACTGACGATAAAATGTGAAAGGCAAAACTTTTATTTTATGTATGAATTCACAATATTTTTTTCGTTTTTAAAGTGATTTTAATCAGTTTTAAAAAGCCGAAAAGGGGCAGCTTAAGTATAAGATGGCAACGAAAGGGAAACTAAGTCCAAACATCCTTTTGAAATATAATTTCTGTTTTTTTCATATAATTCAGAATGTTATATAATTCAAAAATTAATTTTTAACTTTGACTTGATTGAAATAATGTTAAGTTTAAATATTCCAATTAATGTATAGTTGTGTGTAGTTGTTTGGTACATATAATGCTGGCACCTCACTTTGCTATTCGTGTTTGCTATTTGAGGAGCTGTGCGAACAGAACCAGATTAGTCCAGGAAAATAAATTTTACATGGTGGCTAAAAACCTAATATCAGTGTAGGGGCCGTTACTAGGACCCTAACGACTGTCAATTTGTCAATTAGTCACGGGACGATTGTCAGGAGATAATTATTAAAATACGTCAATATGATGTGAATGCCTTTATTGCACTGTCATATAATGTAAAATATTGTTCTTAAACCAATTAGTGGGTTAACTGTTTCAGCAGTTTAGAGTGCATCGATTCGGAATGCAAACTTAATAAAATATAATTAAAATGGCTTGTACAATCAGTATTATGGAGGTGACTAATTGCATATCGGACTAGTCCGGTTTTGTTTGATAATGCACTTTTTAAATCCTTTTTTGCCTACTTCGAGCCGGTTTTATTTGAAAATATTAACAGGGATCGACGAAACTGGATCAAGACATCACGATACGAAAAAAAAAACGTTTTTTGAATAGTAGTGGACAAGTCCGCTTCTGTTCGCCAGCTCCTCATTTGTTAACTTGACATCAGTCTGTCCTTTTCATTGCTTATAAAGCATGATAAGGACGGAATGTTTTCAAGTTTAAAAATAGCATATACTAATAACCAATTGAGGTGCCTTAACGATACAACATCGCAATATCCACGATGAATTAATAGTAGGAGAATATTTAAAACTAGCTTTACCTGGCGAATTTCTTACCACCCTATTAATTTCTTTTACTCAAACCTTGTCCTTATAATAGCAAACACAAAAAAAAATCCAATTTAGTGCAGTCGTTCGGAAGTTTTACGCGTACATACACATTTAAGGGTTCTTAACCTTTTAATGACATTTAGAAATTTTGTCCATTTGTCAAAATTTCGAAATGTCACTAAAAGGTTAAGAACCCTCGTCACTATAAAGTTTAGAACCACTGATATAGATAGATCGCCTATCGCACTCGATGAAATCTATAATATTCATTGTTATTAATTTAGATAAAGCAACGGTTATAGATAATGTAAACAATTATAAGTATCATTACATTAATGAAGTATGTTAAAAGCACTCGTATAATTCAAAGAGCTATCCTAAATTGTAGTTTAAAAAAATCTTATAATGATATTATGTACTAAGAAATTTTAGTACGGTAGTATATGACAACTAAGTTAGCAAAATTATATTCTATAGATAAAATTAATTGATATAACCACTAATTATGGATAGTTAACACGACCGTCTTTCCCGGACGTTATTTGTAATGTTATATGACTACAGAAAAAAAAAATAGAAAAAATATCACTGTGCAGGTTTTCAGGTAGGATTTAAACGGGCTTCTTACGATATCTAGGCTACATAGTATCAAATTCTGCATCACACCTTGGAGAGAGTGAATTTTTTGTAGTAATATAATTCTTTAGATTTATAAAAATAGTTTCATACTTTAAATATACACTCGGGGGCTTTTGTATACTCGAAACCCCTTATTAATAAACAAGGAATAAGCTTAGATTAGTTACGCCGTGTTTGGTTCATGTCACTCATATGCCATTTGTCATTCTATGAACAAAGAGAAAACATGGAGTAACTTATCCAAGCTTATTCTTCGTTTCTTAATAAGTAGTCCAGGCAACGAAAAGGTATAGAGGGAAATGCTTAGAACACAATTTTTGACTTCGTTACTTTGTTAGGACCAGTTAGGAGGTAAACATATCAAAAGTCCAAGGGGGTTGAAGGTCCCATTTTTAGGTTTTTCGCATATATCTCGAAAACTATGCATCCTAGCGACATGAGACTTTCACAAGAAGCTGATTAAATTTGCTACAAGTCTTATTCAGCAAAATTTTTTGATATCTTGTATAGTTTTCGAGATATCCGTTCTTGAAAGTCTGTAATTATGGAAAAAAAATTTGGTTCACATTTTTGCGCTATTTGACCGGATAACTCTTCAACAATGCACCCAAAAAATAAATGCCGGCCGTAGGGTTGTACAGCATTAAATTATCTTCAAAATCAATCCCTAAACGGGAATCCCGCGGCTTCGAACTAAGCAGCTTAGAGGGTGTTTGCAGGGTTTTTTAGCGGATATTATGCCGTAAAGCGCCCGTAAGGGTTATGGGGTCCTCAGTGGGCAGCCACTGCTGGGGCTCGTAAGGCTTGCGGGAGCCAGGTGTGAGGTCCATAAGTAAAAAAGAAAGTAAATTAGTGTCATTGAGAAACTGTAATTATCTAATAATAATATCAGTAATAATGATATCCGCTCTTGAAAATCTGTAATTATAGAAAAAATAAATTTGCTTTACATTTATTGCTCTATTGGACCGGATAACTCTCGAATAACTCTTCAACGATGCACCGATGTCTAAATAGCACACATGCTCATTTTAGAATATGTACTTGTTGGCCCACTGACCAGGTTCCTCACACTTAATCCAGAAAATAAGTTTAAAAAAACTGTAAGAGTTAACTACTTTATGCAAAAAAGGTTATTATAAATTAGATGATTATTTAAATGATAAGATTGTCTGGTGTTGTATTGGTCCAGCTCAACACAAAAAGTAGTATTAAGAATAGTTAAAATTATAAAACTGGACTTAATTGAGACGGTAGGGCCCTGTGCCTCTGGTTTTTTTCCGGTTCTCATTGGCTATACAGGTACGAATACGGCAGCAGTTTTAGATACAATTCACTATGACTAGCAAAAAGAGATTTGTAAAAAAATCCAATATAGTCAATTTCTTGCTCTTTTGGGGTGGGAAGGACCTTGATCCTCGTCTTCGTTTACATTTTCTTTTTCTGTGACATCTTCTCCATCGGAACCCTGTAGGGAAACGGTCAGAGGATCCTCCTGTTCTTCTTCACCTTCGGAGTCAACTTGAGGGACCCCATTCAAGCAGTTCCCCTGGCAATTTTGGCACGCTGGGGAACATTTGAGGCTTGCTTTTTTGCAGCCTCACTTCGCGCTTGCACAGTCTTTCGTGCATCGACAGAAAATCAAAAAATCATGTAATAGGTAGTTTTGGTCGTGAACATGGCCCCCGGCGGTGTAGACACCTACTTATTTAGGCAACGGCCAACACTGCCAGTTTTCTTACCGGGCGACGCAGGCACCCCCTTTAGTCAATACGTCTACTACCCTTTTTTTTATACGCAGGCAAAAAATACTATTTACAGACGACGGCGCCTTTAAGAGGCACACCGCCGAACGGACCTCACACCTGGCTCCCGCAAGCCTTACGAGCCCCAGCAGTGGCTGCCCACTGAGGACCCCGTAACCCTTACGGGCGCTTTACGGCATAATATCCGCTAAAAAACCCTGCGAACACCCTCTAAGCTGCTTAGTGCGAAGCCGCGGAATCCCCGTTTAGGGATTATTCCGCGTCTCCGCACCTAGCAGCCTCCCGGCCTTGCCGGAGCTCCGCGGCAGGGGTCTCCCGGGGTATCGCGGGGACCCCGCAGACGTGCGCAGGACGGCCCGCGCGTGAGGGCTGAGTACGCGGCCTAGTGCCCACCGTACCGCCCCCATACGTCTACTACCCTAACAATTTTGTCCTTAAATAAAAAATAAAAAATAATAAATAAATAATAAAAAAAAGGCAATTGTTTCTATTATTGAAGATAATTTAATGCTCTACAACCCTACGGCCGGCATTTATTTTTTGGGTGTATTGTTGAAGAGTTATTCGGTCAAATAGAGCAAAAATGTGAAGCAAATTTTTTTTCCATAATTACAGACTTTCAAGAACGGATATCTCGAAAACTATACAAGATATCAAAAAATTTTGCTGAATAAGACTTGTAGCAAATTTAATCAGCTTCTTGTGAAAGTCTCATGTCGCTGGGATGCATAGTTTTCGAGATATATGCGAAACCCCCCCCCCCCCCCCCGGCTTAAGGGCTACGGGCGGGGACTTTTGATATGTTTACCTCCTTACTAGTCCTAACAAAGTTACGAAGTCAAAAATTGTGTTCCAAGCATTTCCCTCTATACCTGTTTTTGAGCATTCGTTGCCTGGACTAAAGGGGGTTTGGGTTTTATATTGATCGACGTTCCACTTTGGACGTTGAACGTTGTGTGTTATCCGGGCACTTGACATGGCTATTCGTATTTGTTATTTCTAAACTTGACAACAATCTTTCCTTTTCATTCTCTATAAAGTATGAAATGGAGAACCTGCTGTCAAAATGTCAAGTAGCAAACACGAATAGTCATGCGAAATGCCGGCATTAAGTTGGCAATGTTTGTCGCGAACTTTGTTAAAGTGATAAAGTCGATATTTAAACGCGCGTTAAAAAGGTGTACCCCCTTAGTGTTAAAAAATTACATAATAAAGAAAATTTGTAACCTTTAAAAGTTTATGAACTTCTACGAATTACGAATGGTAAAATTTATAACAGATAAGATATTATTATTTAATAATAATAATAATGCTTAATTGAAGTAAATTTTGCATAAATATAAAATTATCTTCATAGATTGTTGTAAATAAGTTTTATAACGCTCTCATATAAATGCTACGTTTAGAGATTTGCTTACAAAACTAAAGATTTAGTTTACACGCTAATTATAGTCTGTGATTATTGTTTTATAATTATATTATAGTAACATTGAGAGTAGATAGGAAATATTTCACATCCATACTAATACTAATATTATAAATGCGAAAGTATGTCTGTCTGTTACCTCTTCGCGCTTAAACCCCTGACCCGATTTAGATGAAATTTCGTTTAGATATATTTTGAGTCCTTGGAAAGGACATTGGTTACTTTTATCCCAGAAATTACTCTTTAAGGGTTGAAAGGGGGGGGGGGGGGTCGTATTTGAAACGAGATTTCTCCATGCCGACAAGTCGCGGGTATACATTACTTTAATTTTATTAATATGTTATTGGAAAATGCCATTCGTAGCCTAACCTAACCTAAATACAAATTCTAATATAGAATTATCTTAGATCTAGACTTTGTATTACTAAATATAAAATCTAATATAAAATAGATGCGAAAAAAAAATCTAAAAGATGACGATTCCCAGTGCTCGGTAAAACCTACGCAGGTTTTTATAGCACTGGCTACATGTATTGTTATTATTTATAGTAATGTGAAATTCAATAAATAAATAAAAAACTTAATTAACGCCTAAAAACCAGTCTATTTGATTGACTGTAGTAATCACATAAAAATAAATTCCACAGAGAAAATGTTTTATGTCTACTTAAGTAGCGAACAGTGAATTATTTTTAGTTTATAAAATGACTGTGATTAAAATTTGTTATTTTTTTCCTACGTAGGTTGTATATGTGTCCCTTGGTTTATGTTCTTTTAATTTAGTTAAGTGTATGTCGGCAATGCCCTTTAGGTACTAAATCGAGTAATTAATTGTTAATTAATCTATAGGAGCTATTGTCTACGTGTTGATGTAATCAAATAAAAAAATACACCTAATGGACTTTGATGCAGGAATGATATTTCTATATGGTTTGTTTCTGTTAATTTATCATAGATGTATGCTTTGTAGTAAGTATATCATTCATATTCGAAATGATTATAATAGGTTAAGGTGATGCATATTGTATTATAATAAATTAAAATAATTAATTGGAAAATACAGGTTATTTGTTATTATTACCTTCTTGAAAAGTAAGGTATAAGTATAGAGTAGGGGAGGGGAGGTATAGACTCTACTACAAGTGGAAGTGTCCCTCTAATAGAATGAGAAAGAAGATGAGAGACCGCTAGTTTTCTCTCTCTAATCGCTCATGCGCATTGGCAACCGCAAGCGTCTTACTGTTACGATGTGATACTTGGACCAACTATTGGACAGACGACTGCGCATGCGTCACAAGAGAGAGAGATAGCTAGCGGTCTCTCATCTTCTTTCTCTTTCTACTAGACGGACACTTTTAGGGCCGCCTTCCCCACTCTATTCTTATACCTCTATGGGTATAGGGCCTCTCCCATAGGCTCGTTATTATAGGTCGATAATATCGGATATGTGTTATCTATTTTGAGTACATTATGAATGAGAACGGCTACGAAAGATTGGCCAGAGTAACACTTGCTTGAAAGTGACAACTCTCTCGAAAGAGAGAAAGCGAGTCTAAACGAACTATTAGCCGCACGATTGCTTCATCTCTCCTACTCAGTGCCAATTTGAACTATTGGAGGCCCTGGGCATATTAGGATAATGGGGCCCCCCCTATGACCCCCGTTTGGAGATTTAACAGGACTAGGGACTTTGCATTTGATCTGAGGGGGCCCTAGGCACTTGCCCAAAGTGCCCACTGGGAAAGAGGGGCCTGCTCTTACTCTTATATACCCAGTTTTACTTTACAGTTGTACAGAGAACGTTCAGTCCATTCTCGATGTCTTTTGAATTTTATTACTTTTGAAAGGGTGGCAAATAATAATAAGGCATGTTACCTGCTTTTTATTCTGCAAACCTATGTAGTGACTTCGCCATCGACAAGTGTACATCTTGCTATTCCATTTAACGTTGCATTTTGAGAGTATCATAGCCTGCCGGCAATCGTGTGCCTTAAGTCCGTGACACGTCCTCGGCGGACATTTCTTCACGATTCAGGGACTTGTCCGCGGAGGACAGAAGTCTGTCTGCGCAGGTCGTAACGGTCAGTTTTAATAAGTTCCTGATAAGTGGCTGCGGTAATTATGTTACTATCTTACCTACATTTAAAGGTTACTGAAATTCATGTTTTTGCTTCATCTAACGGGCAGATAAAATTTGTGAGTATTTATATTAAGTAAACTATTAAGTATTTTGTTTATTTCATACAAGTTCCGATTAAAGGACTTTTTTAACAACTTGTGAAACAGGCTCTAAAATTCAATAAATTAAAATGAAGCGTCAATATAGAAATGTGATTGTTTGGTCTATCTATTGCTTACTTTACAATTTTGAAATAAGTGATAATAGAACGCTCAGCAAAGCTCTGATGTTTTAAATGCGAGGGTCAATACGCGTTCTCTCATTCCTTCCAAACAGGGTCTTTAAAAGTGGGCGTGAAGAAGAAGCCATAATGGTAGACAGTTAAGGTTATGCTGGAAGATGGCTGGACTCTATCACACTACTTACACACAGCAGGAATCATTTGAGTTCCCCTGCGGATCTCCTCTCTTCAGAGAGGGAAACGAAAGTCACAGGTGGGTGGATGTGGGATGAGCGGCGCCTACTCTCGCGTTGGTGGCAAAAGGAAAGAGACGGAGAGCAATAAGCTCTCCATCACCTCTGGGAATCAGCGGGTCTAGCTAGCTAGACCAGCATTGCACCAGTACCTGTGATGAATGGTGCTTATGGTGCTCTGGGCGGGGGCATGGGGCATCGCACATCGGAGGGAACCATCTACTGTTCGCGAACAAATAAAAGAGAAAAAAGACACCATACTTACATGTGCTATAATACCAAACTAATGCTTAGAATAGGCGTTTATTCTAGACTGATACTGATAATATTTGAAGCTCAATGTAATATTTGCTAAAACTTGGCTGCAAGCTACCGCTTACAGTATAGCTGCCTACAGATTGGTCACGTCAATTAACATTTGAATTAAGAGAATCTTGTAGGTTGCAGCTCAAGCACTGATAATTTTTTGGACTAACACGATTTCGACGTCGAATTTTCTTTACAATAGGTGATGAAAACAAAAATGTTCTTTGGTAATGTTTACGTCGCAGTCAAGGTTGCTGGTCTTAATTATTTTGAACAACACAGCAAGGTATGTCAATATACCTTGCTGTGTTGTAAGCAAGGTTCTAACATTATTTTAAGAATATATGGATAAGAACCTAACCTATATATTTACATTAGAATTACATACTAACTTTTCAATAAAATTTATAGTTGTTGAAAGTCGGGAAGACTGACGAAGTGACGACTAATTGAGAATTGAAAAACAAATTACTTTCCCTTCGTAAAAAAATCCCATGAAAACTATAAAATTATCACGTGATTACTGTTTAGAGCTGACCATGTCTTAACACTATAAAGTGCGAGTTGGATTCGTGCATTGGAGCATATTGGGGGTAGGTAATATCTTAACATGCAACAGAAATGGCCACTATTTTGATAGTGTCTTGTTTTTTATAGCTCGAGGAATGAAAGACTCGTGGCCCTTCTGCAGGACCCCAAGCCTTCCCACCACTTGATATTAATTTAAACTCTGAGACCGTTACCTGTTGGAGCAAAGGCATGCATTTTGCCCTATAAGTTCTGAGTTTATATCTCGGTGGGGTCATTCATTTGAATGTTAAGTAGGTACAAATGTTTATATTATATTTATTCATAATCATTCCATACCTAGAAAATGCTTTTTACTTACTAAAACTTGACAGAAAGATAAGTTTCTGGGTTAATTTTTCCATTTAGAAGTATGGAACCCTAACATGTAAAATAAAAGTGAGTGAAGTATTTAAGTGATAAAAATTAATTAGCTTGGTCCAATTAAAAAGGTCAAGTTTAAAGTGCATGATAAGAATAAGTCACTATGTTAAACGAGTCTGATTCATTATCTATCATTGAGGTAAATGGTCATTAAACTATCATTATGGAAAATTTTCTTACTAGTAATCATGACAATAGGAAAAAATGCTTCCAATGATTTTAGGTGATTAAGTAAAGGAAACATATTAAACAGCCATTTAAATAAATATTTTATTTTAAATTAAAAATCATGTTTTTAATTAAATCAATACATTGAATGCCTAGTCAAGAAAACTAATGAATAATAAATACACCAATAAGGTATGTTATGACAGAGATTATCGTTTGTTGGATCATGATCTAAGACATAGTAATACTTTGGAAAATACTACAAAATAAAAGGTATATATCTTTATGATTGTTTTCAATAGTTATGGAATATACAATTATGGTAATTGCAGTATTGGTAACAGAGTTACTTTTACCTAAAATTATGCAATATTTTCATCAATTATTTTGAAGAATAAAATTGCAAGAAAACTGATTTTTAACTGGCAATAAAGAAGTTGTTTTTTTTTTGTACAAAATGTTTTAGTGATAAATATCAATGATTAACACTTAAGAAACTAAAGTTGGGAAATGCACAAAAACAAGGAACTTTATGCCAAACTAAAAAATGGTATATAATGCACCAAGTTATTATAGATTATCTGACTAATCCCACTAGAACCTGATTTGCATGCATACAATTATTGTACCTATAATAAGTACATTTTAACTTCAACTATATTTCTTAGTTGCTTCAAAAAGAAAAGTATTCTATATCCAAAATGAAGGTCAAATATTATATCAAATAAGGTAACAATCTTGTAAAGATTATATAAGAGCCTCATAATTAATTAGATGCCGATTGCTTTTCTAAACCAGACGGGTCTAATATAGGAGTCTGTTTTTTGACAATACCAGATAATAATGTTTTGATTTGAGCAATTGCCCGGCCTGGGTTCAGACCCTTAGGGCATGTTCTTGTGCAATTCATGATTGTATGGCATCTGTACACAGAATAAGTATCTTTCAGTTTAGACAAACGTTTATCAGTTGCGTCGTCTCGAGAATCAATAATCCATCTGTAGGCTTGCATTAGGACAGCGGGTCCGAGATATTTGTCACCATTCCACCAGTAAGATGGGCAGCTAGTAGAGCAGCATGCACATAACACGCATTCATACAAGCCATCCAGCTTGGCCCTGTCCTCGACATCTTGGAGTAGTTGAGTTTCCTTGCCTTTAGCAGCTTCCTTACTGCGCTGTAGCCAAGGTTCTATGGACTGGTACTGACGATAGAAATTGGTCAAATCTGGCACAAGATCTTTAACAACGTACATATGAGGCAACGGGTAGATTTTGCTCGGCTTCGAAAGGCTTTGGTCGATGTGACTGATGCACGCTAAGGTGTTAATGCCATCAATATTCATTGCGCAGGAACCGCACACCCCCTCGCGGCAGGACCGTCTAAAGGTGAGGGTCGGGTCGATCTCATTCTTGATCTTCAGCAAAGCGTCGAGCACCATAGGCGCGCAATCATCTAGATCTACCTCATAATTCTGCATATAAGGTTTCTTGTCAGGCTCGTCGGGGTTCCAACGATAAATAGCGAAGGTCTTCACTCGCTTACTCAGTGCTTGGGAGGTTGCGAAAGTACGCAGCTGACCAAAAGCTCCCGATGTAAGTCTGAGTAGTGGCATCGTTATGTAATATTTTTGTGTATTCAAACAAAGATGTTTGTCGAATCAAAATCACCATAAACACTGTATGGAAATAATTTCGAAATAAACCACAATTCGTAACGATCACGAAAAGACGCAGAAGAACAATATTTGAAATAAAAATACACTCTGCCGTGATACTTCTGGAATCGACGACAGCAATGTGAATGATTGAATGGTAGAGGAATAAAGTGACTTTCTGAAGGAAATGCGAATGAATGAATAAAGAAGTGCTGCAGTGATGTGTGCTATTGAGGTCGATTCTGGCGTGATTCTCTAAACTTAAAACTAAATTTAACATCAGTCTCTCCTTTTCATTCTGTATAGAGATTGACTAGGATATACTATTGTCAAATTTAAGTTTAGGTTTAGAGAATCATGCCAGAATCGATACCACTGTTGTCAAATTTAAGTTTAGCTTTAGAGAATCATACCAGAATCATATATTTAGTTATAATCGCTATAGTGGTATCAATTCTGACACGATTCTCTAAACCTAAACTTAAATTTGACAACAGTGTATACTTGTCATTCTCTATACGGAATGAAAAGGAGAGATTGATGTTAAATTTAGTTTTAAGTTTAGAGAATCACGCCAGAATTGACATCAGTGTCGAATCTGCAATGATTCTCTAAATTTAAAATTAAGGATAAGGACACAAACATATGCTTATAGTTATACGTTTGTGGGATACGGTTCAAATTTATATGGAGGAAGGTAGTGAGTCTTCGGCATTTTTATGACATGTAGTAGTTAATTGTAAATCGTTTGATAAAATACTTAAATTTGTTTTATCCTCTTTTTTTATAATTATTGGTACATAAAATTATATAACTATTGATGTGCAAATGGCAAGTTTATTTTTTAGGTAACTAAAGCAGTTATAATTATTCCGTTCATCATTTGTTACATTATCAAGTATTTTGTGTATCAATCATAAATTGGTATAAAAAATTCACCACGATTTCAAGAATATCATGCATGACTGGATCGATTGACATGCCATAGTGATAAAGTTGACATTAAAAAAGCGAGTGTGCGTGTGGGTACGGGTACGGCCAGAGTGCACTCCTGATTCAGATTCAGACTCAGAAAACAAAGCGCGAGAAAAAGCAGGCAACCTGCTTAGACTACACTGTTTATTTCTCGCGCTTGTTTTCAGAATCTGAATCTGAGTGCACTCTGGCCGCACCCTTAATTTCTCGCGCTTGTTTTCTGAGTCTGAATCTGAATCTGAGTGCACTCTGGCCGTACCCTATGACCTGTATATATATATATATATATATATATATATATTTATTTTTTCATTGATAAACAAGTCAAGTTTTTCTTTATCATATTTTTATTATCACAACTATATAAACAAACTTTATACGACCTTCTTGGCCGAGTGATTTGTTTTTGATTTCATGGTGTCGCCGACTCGAGAGTTTGTGGGATGAATGCGAGCATTTGTACTCCAGTCATGGATGTTTAATATGTATTCTATCCGTTACCCTAGTATTCCATAACACAAGTCTTATAGTGCTTAGCTTGGGGCTAGGCTAATTGGTGTGAGTGTTGGAAATATATATATATATATAAAAAACAAATAATTTATGTCTTTTTTATACTGGTATGCATGGTATGTTTTTATACTTTTATGTATGAGGAACTCGATGGCGCAAGTGGTTAGCGCGATCGGCTGCGATCGTTGAAGTTAAGCTACTTTCGCAGTGGTCAGTCATTGGATGGGTGACCAAAAATTTACTATCTTGAGCTTCTCCGTGCTTCGGAAGGCACGTTAAAGCCGTTGGCCCTGGGTGCATCGGCAGTCCTTAGCACCCTCCAATCCTCACTGGGCCCGCGTGGTGGTTCATGGCCCAATCTCTCTATTCCATCCATAGGTAAGGCCTGTGCCCCAGCAGTGGGGACAATAATAGGCTGATGATTATTTTATTCATTAATCCGACGCCATATTGTACTGGTATGCTACCATATTTTTACCGGGAAAACGAATATGACGTATGACCGAGCTTGCTTGAGAAGCATTAAAATTTTATTTCTTTTTTATTTAAAAAACCATAACGGCATCCGAAAAAAAGAATTCCTTTTAATTGATAAGGTGTATAAAAAATCTTCTTTATTCCCACTATTTTTAATATTTCGTCGATTTGTGACGTCATGTACTAGCCAATATATTTCATAACAATTCACCAGTAGAGCTTCGATTTATGGCGTCATTCGCAGTGGCCAGTAAATTGGTATATATTACGGAATACACCCAAAATTATCGTTCTAGTTTTCAATCCCTGGTTCGTTTTGTAATGAGGCCATGGACGTACTACGTCCTGAATACTTTAAAAAAAATCATGAAAATTTACCTTGTGTATTAAAAACTAAAGTTCATTTTACGGAAGAGCGCGGGAACTCCAAACTGCAAGGGCGGTATTTTTTCTCATTATTTTAATTTTTTGCTATTTCTCATAATTTTTTAGCCTCTGAAGGCATTTTCTGTACATTTGTATATAGATTCATTGTTTTTAATAATTAGTTCATATGATATTGTTAAATAAGATTCAAAATAGATGTCTGCGCATTATTATGGGAGCTATGATGTCAACCCCTATTCGTTCAATGCAAGTTGAAGCAAACATCCTGCCCTTAAATTTACGGTTTAAATATCTACACTATAAATTCTTACTGAAACTTTCATCATTCATCAGGCATCCTCTACTTTTAAAATTAATGCAAGCTGCTAATAGAAACAGTTCTACATTTTTAACTCATGGCTTAAATGAAATCAAAATTTTGGCATCCAATAACAACATCTATCAGAGCTTGAGCCTACCTTGCTACAGTGATTCATATCTAAGTAAATTTTCATCAATAAATGTAGTCATAGACCACAAATTAAAATTTAAAGAAGATGTTTACACAAGTTTGCAGAATTTCATAGGGCTAAACATGGCCAAAACTACACTGATGGTGCAAAGAGCAATGAAAGAGTTTCTTTGGCCTTCTATGATTTAGGAGCAGAGAGAGGTTTAGGTTACATGTTATCAGAGAAAGCCAGTATTTATACAGCAGAGTCTTCAGCCATTTTGGAGGCTCTTCATTACATTGAACATCAAAATTATCCTAAATGGATAATAATCACTGACAGTATGAGTGTTTTAAAAGCTTTAGACAGTCCCAAATTCAATGCTAAAACTAATTATTTAATTTACCAAATCAGGGAAAAACATTATCAATTAACACACTCAAATATTGTAAGGGATATTGTCTTTTTTCGGACCCCCTCCCATATTGGTGTTGTTGGAAACGAAAAAGCAGATTTTATAGCCACTTCTATTACAAATGATATCCATAGTAATATTATCAGCTCTGTATTTAAGGCCATTCTAATACCTGAAACGGATCTTTTACACTACATAAAGAATAATATAATAGATACCTTTAAAAGGCTTTGGTCCAGAATTAGTGAGACGAAAGGCAAATGGTATGTTGAAATCAATAATAAAATTGGTATTCCATGGTTCTGCAAAGGAAAGGATTATTATGGTCGAAAGTTTTTTACAACCATCTGTCGCTTGCGTTTAGGACTGTCGTTTTAAAGCTCATCTTCACAGGTTGAACTTAATCTCGTCTTCTGATTGTAATTATTGTCGTCTACCAATTAGCCAAACTCTTCATCATCTGTTTTTTGATTGTAGTGCCTTTTCGTTACAAAGAATGATTTTTATAGATCAACTCTTAGATATTTATAAAATATCTGCAAATATCCCGCGCTCTCTACCTCAGCTCTTACCAAACAAGAGTTGTTTTAAACCTATTTACCAGTTTATCAATACGACCGTTAATGATATTTAAATTTTGATTGTTTCTTATTACTATCACATCTTCATACCTCTAACTTGACTAAAGACCTTGCTTTATTAACTCACAATTATGACTTGAAAATAATCCACGAATTGGATATTTTATCTCTTGATATGACTTGAAAATATTACAACAAAATATTCTTGACATTTCTACCAATGGCAATGACTTATCTTGACATATACACAAACGACTTCGCTTTGGCCTTACTGAAAAAACACAACAGAAGACAATATTTAAAAAAGAAAAACGCTAAGAAAGAAGTAGAAGTACTTTATAGACAAGATACCTAAAATAAGACTTAGCTTCGGCTACAAGAAAGAAGAAATACAGCTTCTATTACTGCATATATAATAAATACAGCATGTATTATTCTGAAATATGAAACTTAAGAATTGGCTGTATGGGCACAGTACCTTTTGCCTTCCCAGAATGGAAAAAGGAAAAAAAAAATCATTTTACGTTGTAAAGTGAAAAGAAGGCCCACCCGGGCACAGTGACATAGTTAAAACAGAGGCTCTTTGTCTCGTTCTTATAATTACCAATGACCAGTCCCTATAATGCACCTCACTATATTTTGGGCGGGAATCTTACATGTTTTGACCTTTTTGATTTTGACGTTTAGTGCAATCACCAAAATAAACATAAAATCTCAGCTTGATTTTGTACAAGGAAGATGTAAATGAATCGCAACAATGAAGACTGTATCTTCGTTGAAAAGTAACAGTAAAGTAGAATCGCCAAAAACACCAGGTGGTATAAGTAAATCATTGCTCACACCTTGTCGAAGAGTTGGACTCTCCCGTAACTGGAGAAACAAAGGGCCTTCGCCGTTTATATCTCCACTTTCAGGCAATACTGAAACAAAAATTGAAAGCATCGGCACGTCAAAAAAGAGAAAACATCTGTCTGATGAAGAAGTATCAAAAGAACCAGAACAGGAACTTTCCTCAAAAGAATGCTTAGATAATTCACAGAACAATAAACCTCTAGTAACAAGCACAGATATCGATACAACACCGTCTAGAAACATCAGTATTCCGCAAAGGAAAAGATCTAAAACTTTAATAACCTCCAAAATTGACAACAGTATTACTGAAACACAGGTTCCAGAGACACATTTCTACACATTTAATGAAAAAGAAAACGTAGAAGTGGAATTAAACAAAGGAAAAATAGAAAACATAGCTGTTGAAGAGAAAGTGGTAACAACACCTAGTAGAACTAATTCTAACACTATAAGAAAAAGCAAGAGGCCAACAGATAGTGTACAATCATTTACAACAAACAACTCTCAAGTTGATTACAGTAATAAAGTGGAAGACTGCTCTGACAACAATATAATAAAAGATCAACAAAAAGTTTGTGAAAAGAAAAGTCCTGAGAACTTGACTAAAGAATGTATTGTGCTTATCCAAAAAAAGATATTTAAAAAAGACATAGATAAAATAAAACAGTGCAATAAATTGAAGACCAAAGATGTAAACCCTGTTTCACAAACTTTGTTTGATTCAGATTCTGATGATGTACCATTAAGTATATTGAATAAAAAGAATGAGTCAAAAGTAGTAGAACCAACTATAATAAACTTAGATGATGATGATGATTTTACTGAAAGTACTAAGGTAAAAGTTAAAAAGTTAGAGGATAAAACTACTTCTACAGGAGGCTTACATAATAAAACAAATGTCAAAAAGAAATCTAACAAACAGACGGAAGTTGTGCAAAAGTTAAAAACTGAATCTGTTTGTCTTGAGCCTAAGCCTTCTCAATCACAATCTTCTTTTGACGATGATGAAGATTTTGCGATAGACAAAAGAACTATACTAATAAGAAAGTCTTATGAGAAAGTCACTAAGCCATCTAAAGCAAAATCTACTGGTTCAATAACTCAAAAAGACATTGATAATATAAAAGCTCGTATTGAAATTAAGAAAAAACTACTCTTAGCTAAAGCTATGACTGAAGATACTGAAGAACTAAGAGAGTTAGTAAAAAAATGGCAAAAAGGATGTCAGGATGCTGTTATGGAATTAATGCAGTTAATTAGACAAAAATTTCCTGATAAGCAGAATATGGATTACTCTGAAATTCTTTCTAGTCTCAAGATACCAGTTTCTATGGTTGGGTATGATGAAGAAAATGATAGTTTTATCACACCCACTGATGAAGATATTATTCTAGCTAAGTTCCGTGATTTGTAATTTGTTTTAAATGTAATAAAAGTATTTGTTGTTGATTTGTGATAAAACTTTTGTTTACAAATTATTGCCATGGTATCGTAATCCATATGTTATTTAGTAATGACATGTTTTTATTTAAATGATGCTATTTTAGAAGAACCAGAGAAGTTTCTTTATATACAGGTTGTAGAATAAAAATTAAGGATGAATCAAAAAAAAATGGTTGCCTGTAAAGTAGGTTTTACGGGCGAAGATTTTACGTGACAACGTCTTTTTCTCGGTAGAATATTTATTGATATGAATATAATTAAATTGCACAATAGGAACAAGGAATTGAATGAAAATAAGAATTGCACAAATTTTAACTATAGAAATATATTTTGTTTACTAAAACATTGTACATGTAAACTTAAACTCATCATAACGTTACCGAGCGTTACACTTTTTCATAAGTGACTCCCAGCCGCAACCTAATTTAAGACGTTGTCACGTCAAAAGCTTTTAATAGGTCAATAACTTTAATGAAGTTTATTTTAATTTCATTTCATTATCAATGAACCATGGACCATTTCCATCCATATTATGGACCTAATGTGGTTTAATGGAACACAAAGTTTTTATTTTTGTTTGTAAATTCCCCTTCTTTAGACCTATATTTTACATTCTTTTAAAGTGAAAGAGTACAAATAAATGCGAATTACATAATTACTATATATATAAATACTAGAATAAAACTAAAACTAAAAACCTTAAAAATAAAATTAATTACTGAAATATATTATTAAAAAGAGTCCCTTTAGGCAAGTATCAGAACATACTGGCAGCGTTACCCCTTTGAATGGCTAGACTAATTCTTTGTCCGAGGTAGCTGCCAGCTCTTCGGTCTCCTGTGATGTCGACTAACCTTTATGCTATTTCCTTAAATAGCCTTAAAGCGCTAGGACCCCACGGACCAAGGGTCTCGACACCGAATGGGACAATATTATCTTTAGTAAAATTTAAAACATAGGGTAAAAGGGGTCAAGTAACTGAAATGGGTTAAAACATTCTGCATTTTTATAAGTTTCGGTTGAAACTGCTGAATTATGCCCAGTACCAACTTAAATATCATTTTGATGGTCAAACCCATAGGCAAAAATGCATTTGGTTCGCAGATGTTTCAATATCTACTCTTATACATATATGAAATTCTCATGTCATGGTGTGCGTAAATGAAGTCCTCTGAAACGGTTTGATTGATTTTAGTGAAATTTTTTATGCTGATTCTGTAGGTCTGAGAATCGGACATCTATTTTTCATCCCCCTAAATTTTATGGGTTAACGATGGACCACCATAATTCTTTTCTTTTTTGGAGATTTTTTTTATGATACATACAAAAATACATACAACCCTAAATTTTCACCCTTCTACCATCCATATTTTTATGGCGATACGAAGTTCGCTGTTCAGCTAGTATATTATATACTTTCCTAATTGGCAATGAAACAATGAAAATCATTTTTATATATAAACATTTATTGATATTTTACCAAACTAGCAACTTTAATTATTACATTTGATCTAAAATCTGTGCGGCCTAATCGGATTTTCGGGATCAAATAGTTTTGGATCTTTCAAGAACCTCTTGTCCTTGTAGTAATATGGCATGTAAGCACAGTTCTGTGCTTTTGTTATTTCTGTTTCCACTTGAAATTGCTTTTTACGACATAGGCCCGTTATATGCCTTCCATATATGCGACCAGTGTATGGGGATTGGAATTGAGATAGAAGACGATAGTTTTTGTAGTCTGGTGTAATGTTCAATTTACATAAGATGCACTGCTTCACTTCTTTCTTATACGGATTATCAATATCTGCTGGGCTGTCGTCAGTTACAGCGATTTTTGTATTGGTGGAAGACAATCTCGCAGTAGAGACGATACGTGTATTGACTGAAACTGAAAATAAAATAATAGTAATTAGTGAGAGCGAGTACAATTTTTGTACGTCTTTCATATTAGCTGCTGCTGTTATAAACTCACATATGTGTTTGCTTAGTAATTTCTGTAATAGAGCCATGGTTATTTACGGTTTCTCAAAGCAATAAGGAAAGGAGAAAGAATACAACAATAAATAGATTTCTCAAGAAAGTAACCTTAAATTCGACGGTGTTTTTTTTTTAATAGTTTAACGGCCTTGGATGAAATCCATACAGCCACTTCCACTTCCACTTTGGGTATTATGGCTCCATCGTTATGCACGATGATTCTGCCAATGTCAGGGTTAAGAAAGGCACTGTTATATCGGTACTCTTCTTTGTACGGTGTGGTAGCCCGGTTACTACGTGGAGCTATCGCGTGGAGTTGAGATTCTAGAATAGGACAACACATACAACATCACAAGCGGACATGTACCCAAGCATACCAAGGACGTATAAAAAAAGGCGGACAGAGTCCCGGCAAACAACAAACTGTGTCGCTCAGAGTCGGCCAGGTCGCTATACGTACAAGCCGGCACACACACATTCACACACATAGTCAGCCATTACGCGTGCAAACGTCAAAGCGGCCGATACGTTACGTGGAAATAAAAATAAGTTAAAACAAGATGTCTTGCGTGGTAAAATGGTGTAAAAACCGTAGTGACCGAAAGAAAAAAAATCCAGGAATCACGTTTCATAGGTAAATGAACAATATAATCACTTTTTTCTAGTTTTTAGAAATCGAAATCAATTTTCATTCTAAGGACAAAATAATTAATCGAAAGTCCAGTGTTGTCAATGTTCACGTAACCATATTACCTAAAATATGGGAAATTGGGGTGACATTAGCTTCAATCTATTATTTTTATTCTTTTTTATCAGATTCCCTAAAGAAAATGTAGAGTGGAGAAATAACTGGATCCAAGTTATTAGGAATTATTAGAATTGTAACGGAGATGATGAATGGATTCCAATTTTTTATTATTATATTTTTTATCCATTTTTTAAAAAATTGTTTTAGACCCCAGCACCTGTTCTTATTTTTATTTGTCTCCCTTTTATTTAGACTTTATAATTATAATTTTTGGACTAAAGATGGTAAACTGTGGAGCTTGTGGAAGTTTTTTGGCGCCGGGCAATGCTGTTGTTTGCTGTGCTTGCCCAATAAAATATCTTAAGGCCTGCCTCGCCATCTATTAATATCACAGAAAAAACTTGAATTAATATCAAAGAAAAAAAATACTGCATAAATATATAGTATTATTGCATAAGTTGACAAATAATGCTATGCAATAGCTTTACCGCGGCAGTCCCCGAGTGCAACACGATTTTTTTTAAGTACACGATTTGCATACCTATTTTCTAAATATTCTTTTAAGGCCCTTTACTTTGATACCTCGCTTGACGCATAAGCATTTTTTTTTCTAAATATTTCATTTTGGCGCCTTATTATTGGGCATACATACATGCATACACGCTCGAAAAACATTATCCACCGCAGTCGGGTAAAATTTTGAACAATTAAAATATTATGATCTTTTTACTGTGTTTTATTGGTAAAAAATTGGCTAACCTAGCAACCCTACATTCACTCACTCATACATAACCGCCGCCATTACGGTGCCTCACTTTTATCTTAGCCGAAATTCTGTCCGCCTTTTTTTATACGTCCTTGCAAGCATACAAAATGTTAGTGTCTTTATTACTGTAGTAAAGCATTGGAGTTGGATTGTAAGAGGTGACAAGGCAAAGTATATAAATAGTTTGGACATCATAAGACAATGTTGTTAGCCTTTATAAACTTTCCTAGTACTTTAATAAAGGGTGAATTGACCTGCGTTAATAGGAACGGAATATTTACTGGTCTTGGGATATTTTTAGGTAATAGGTCATATAAATGCACCTGGATATTTAGACATCTAAAGAATATGTGTTCCACGGTGCCGTCCTCTAGTCCACACTCACACAAGGAGTTGTCCCGAATACGGAGTTTAGCAAGGAAAACTGGTGTATTTACGTGTCCCAGGCGTAGCCTGATTATTATAGAAGTGATGAATTTATTCATGTTGCGCTGGCGGAAAAACCAGGGTTTGCGTGGAATATCAGGTTGTAAGTTGCCGTAATATATACCCTTAACAGTTCTGGACTGTTGCCAAAGAGAGCCCATGATTTATAAATCTGAGGTCTTGCCAATGTACGAAGATCACGGGGGTAGCATCTGTAATATGACAGGCTTCCATTTTGAGTTGCTTCTTTTGCAAAAAGGTCAGCTGTTTCATTGCCAATGATACCCCTGTGGCCCGGAATCCAGGCTAAAATCAGCTCGATGCCAGCGGATGCGCACCTCGCCAGCGCGTCTTTGGTTTGTAAGGTAATGTAAAAATTATATCTGGAGTGGAATGGTAGTTTTTGTATATCCTGCAAACAGCTGAGCGAGTCCGTGAATATAATGCATTTATTTAACTTGTGGGATTCTGCGTACAGTATTGCTTCAAGAATTGCAATGTTTTCTCCAGTGTATACTGAGGCTTGAGGGGGACATTTGAAGTTTAGTAAAATTTTGTATTTAGGGATCCACACAGCTGATCCAACGTTGCTGTCATCAGATAATTTTGAAGCATCAGTGAAAATATGAAGCCATTCATTCCAGTTTTGTGTTAGAATGTTATTGAACTTTTCGTTAGCATTTGTGGTGTTTCTGTCAATCCCAGTGTTGAGCAAGATTTTGGGTTGGTAAATAAGTGATTTGTAGTTGATTTCGAAAATTGCATTTTTTCCTGTTTGATGTATAGTGGGTAAGTTGGATAACTTGTTTAAGCTTTTTATTAATGTTGGAGGGATCTTATGGTTCCAGTATGCAGAATTACGGACAAGTTCACTCAGTATTCTAAGTTTTTCTAGTAGGGGATGTGTAGATATTTGGAGAACATTGCACAGGTCTCTGTCACTTAGGTATTGTCTACGCAGGTGTAGAGGAGGCTCAGCACACTCCACCTGCAGTGCATTGATGGGGGATGACTTTCTGGCGCCTGTAACAATTCGTAGGCATCTGGATTGTAATTTATCGAGTTTACATAAGGCAAGTTTTTGGCATGGTTCCAAAAGGAAGCAGCCATAGTCGAAATGGCTACGGACGATGGCGTTATATAGGATTTTTTGAGAATAAGGGTGAGAGCCCCAGCGCACTCCAGAGAGAGCGCGCATGATGTTGATACTTGATTCTACCTTTTTACATATACAGGGTGAAATTGAATGTTTCTATGAAACTTCGTGAGATTGATGGGTTACGTGTATAGAGTATGCCTGATTTTTTTCGGATTTTTTAAAATAATTTTTTTCGTTTTTTAATTTTTTATTTGGTTATTTTTTTGTCATTTCTTCCTTATGAGTAATTATTCATTTTAAACACGTCTACATAGAAGTTATAAAGCAACTTAAAATAAGCACTACTAAAAAAACGGAAACTTAATGAATGCCTTCATTATGCCTCCAGTCGAGATCAGCGCCGGTCGGGGCGACGACCGGCGGCCGCCTAGGTACCTACTACACGCACAGATGACTCGGCGCTTACCTACTCTCCGCTTTGATCCACACTATTTAAAAACAATACAATAAAATAGTCTTAGATGCTATATTATAATTATTTATTCACTGATACACAATACCTTTGAATATTATTTCATAAAGCACAGGTAATTAATCAATAAAATAAATCTTCTTAAAATTAAGAGCAAATCGGTATAACTTACGAGCTTAGTGAAGGAAGGAAATCTTCGTGTCTGATTTGCCCACGTCATGAAATTCCGAACACATTTAATCACAGCCACAGTCACACATACACACACACACATAATAATATGTTGTTTTGCGGCAAGCACGGGCGGGCGGCGCGCCGCACGCTGGTAACTAGCGCCGGTTGCGGCGTCTTTGATGATGTGAATTCCGCCCACCTCCCCTCTTCCCCGCACACGGACTTTTGCTTTGATTGCATGCAAAACGCAGTCGCAAGTATATCAGTCGCGCGTGGGCGTGCGCATCTTTTGACTTGGTGACATACTCTGTGATAATTTCATTATGCCTCGGTATACAAACCAAGAATATTTAGAGATACTGCTATCGCGAGTGTGACGAAGTAGGTTTGGTTTACGAATGAGTCCCCAAACCATAGAAGTTGCATTTTGTGCAGTGAGTAGTGATAGGGACACTTTAGAAAAGGTGAAAAGACACGTCCGCAAACATGCCTACCTTTGTTTGCAGCAAAATGGTGGTTTAGAGCAACAATTTTGCAGATAATAATTTAAGTCTCTTTTTATTGCTAGTGTAAATACTTTTTGATTAGAAACAACTAATTGTGTACTACCAGTGTGATTGATTTGATAAAAAGTTCTAGTGAAAAAAATGAATATGTTCCTCGTTCCTCGTTGTACCTACCTATATCGCCGGTCTCGTAAGTACTTTTGAATACCTGGTTATAAATTTCATTCTGACCCAAGTATTAAGCAATAAGTATTTCTTTTTGTTTAACATTTGCCTATTTCCAATTGTGACAAAATTATTATTAACTTTTAAAGCTTTTCTGCTTAAGAGAAGATGACATTTGTGCTTATTATTTCAATTTCAATAAAGGCATCTAAGACGATTTTATTGTATTGTGTGGAATCAAACGAGTCAGTTGAGCTCTGTGTAGAGTTAGGTACCTACTCACTCAACGGCTGGCGGGCGCGGTCGGTCGTTGACCCGCGGTGGAATTTCAATGTTTTTCCGTTTTTTAGAAGTGCTTATTTATTAGTTGTTTTTCATTGGATATGTAAGTTTGTTTGTTTAAAATGAATAACTACTCAAAACGAGGAAAGGACATAAAAATACACAAATTATAAATAAATACATGAAAAAAATATACTTCAAAAAAATCCGAAAAAAGACAGGCATACTCTATACACATAACCCAACAATCTCACAAAGTTTCATAGAAACATTCAATTTCACCCTATATAGTCTACACCTGAGAGTTTTGCATCTAAAACAAAGCCGAGAAATTTTACAGAGTCTTGGGATTTTATAGATTGGCCTTCTAAAAGGAGATTAAATTGGGGGGGGGGGGGGGGGGGGTTTCTTTTCCTACTGAATAAAATTGCATTGGATTTATTAGCTGAGATAGAGAGGCCGTGATTTTTAAACCAGTCATTCAA